TAGGAAAGCAATTTTAAGAGACTAATAAATTAAATAAATTTTATTTGAGACATTTTAGACGTAAATTTTACTGGAATGTAAGGTTCCAGTAAAATTAACGTCTAAAACTTCGTTTTCCTCGTATCAAAATCGGATTTGCGGCAATAATTTTATTTTTTTAAATATCTTTAAAATAATGTGCCGATTGATATGGGTTGCCATTTAAAAAATGTCAACCCTGTTTGTGGGTGGGGGGTGAATTTCAAAATATCACCAAAAACAACCTTACATTACCCTAGAAACGTGTATTGAAGCTTGTTTGAATTTATGAATATTTGTGCTGAGACCATTCATTATTTAGCATGTTAACCCATTGTTCTTTATTTTTACCATTAGCTAGGATTTTTTCCAATCCCATGGGATCTTGATTTTGGACATCTCATTAAGGACGTTACTCCAAATCCTCTTCTCTCTTTCAATGTTTTAATACTTACATCTAAATAGGTATCCGCAATAAAGTATATCCTGCTGAAGGCAATCTGTGCTAGTTCACCAGAGGTTTCTGGAATATTAGTAAGAACCTAAAAGTAAGCCATACCGTCAATTACATACATACATTATTTAATCTTGAGAGGTTCGTCTATACCCTTGTTCTCCAAAGCATGGAGCAGTTTGGCCTTTTCTGTTTTGGTTGGGCATCCATCGACAGTGGCTGATGCCCATGGTACTGGATCTAATGGGTATGTCATCAGCTTCTCAAGGTTAATATCACGTTCTTGGGACAGCAGTAAAACTCCAGAAAAATATTTTTTATTGCTCTTATCTCAACTAATCTGTTTGCATGCAGCTTTCCCTAGATTATCTACATTGAGTAAATTGTCTTCCACTGATTCGGGTACAGGTCTTCCAGCTGATAAACAGACCATCTAAGAATTCTGATCACAGTTTTCAACTTCAAGCAGAATAATGCATTGTTCAAAAGCATCAAGTACAGTACTTGCAAAATACTTTGCTCACTTCGTTTCATTTCATTTGCTTGCATGTCACTGAGAACAATCTGATGACTTCACCATACTTGCATTTTTTAATTCTAACTTGCTGTGGGCCCGTCCTACGCACAGGAATCAACTAATCAAATCAAAACAAACTAAAAAATCTATACTAAAGGACCCATGCTGCACTGCGGCGTTAAAATAAATATCATATCCGAGAAATAATCAAATTGATTATTTTTTATTGTGTAATACAGTATCTTAAACTTAACTGATTCAAACGATCAAACGATCAATAGCTCAAATTAAAGCCTATAATTGACTGATTATTTTGAGTCTAAAACATATAAAAAAACTTAAACAATACTGGAGCTATTGATATTCAATCATAGAAAAACCTTATAATTTTTTTTCTTATGTTGGATGTTCACCTTGCGTTTGCTTGAAAACCGTCCGATTTGAATAACTAACTAATATCTTAAATGCAAGCCGGTATTTTACTGAAGGTTCTTAGACCAAAATATATAGGGTTATATAATTACAAATGGTAAAATACTGTACAATTTAAATTGAAATACGAATTAAAAAATATATCAAACCTATGTTTTTTGGTCGAGTAATAAAGTAGATAAATATACGATGATGCTTGATGTGAAATATATGTGTGCATACTACCAATTTAAGACCTCAATCATGAAGATCGGACGTGTAGAAGAGCCAAAGAAACTCGGAAAAGAAAAAAAAAAAATTTAACTCCCTTTAGAAATACATGGGGGGTAAATTTAATTTACGTATAAGCCGAGTGGGACTGTTGATAAATATATACTGATGCTTGATGTGAAATCTGTGCGTGCATACCTTTAATTTGAGACCTCGATAATGAAAATCGGGTGGGTAGAAGAGCCAAATGAACTCGGAAAAGAAAAACCAAATTTAACTCCCATAAGAAATACATGGGGAAAATGTTGTTTACGTATAAGCCGAGCAAGACTGTAGGCAACTATATGCCGATGCTTGATGTGAAATCTGTGCGTTAATACCTTCAATTTGAGACCTCAATCATGAAAATCGGTCGGGTTGTAGAGCCAAACGAACTCGCTAAAGAAAAACCATTTTTTTAAATATATATATTCATGATATTTTCGTGTTTTCCGGAACATGCTGTAATTCACAAGTGGCAAACACCTAAAACCTTAAAGTACATGTCAATACAAACCAAAAAATGTATATGTCGAAAATTCCCACGGGGGGGGGGGGAGGGGGGGTAAACGCCAGCCTCCGCTCTAATTATGTTGGCCACTAATGAGATTGTTTCATCATGATACATAGTTAAGCATTAATGGGTTCCGTGTGTTTCAGAAGGACTCGTTTATGTACTGTTTCCATTTAATATTTTCGACTTGACTTTTTACTCAATTTCTAGATAGTAAGGAATTTTAATAATTCGTTGAGTTGGTATTTTTACGGTTGATACCGTTAGTTAGGTCTTCAGCTAGCAGGGGACTTTTGTTCAATTTTAGGAAGCTCAAACTGTTTGATGGGAGGTAAATCTTTGTATGACAAGATTTAAGTTTCAGGAAGTTCCAACAGGTTGGTACTATGTTCGTGTTCTTATGTCGTCATTTAAGGGTTAGGAAGTTCAAACAGGTTGGTGCTATGTTCGTGTTCTTATGTCGTCAGTTAAAGGTTAGGAAGTTCCAACAGGTTGGTACTATGTTCGTGTTCTTATGTCGTCATTTAAGGGTTAGGAAGTTCCAACAGGTTGGTACTATGTTCGTGTTCTTATGTCGTCATTTAAGGGTTAGGAAGTTCCAACAGGTTGGTACTATGTTCGTGTTCTTATGTCGTCATTAAAGGGTTAGGAAGTTCCAACAGGTTGGTGCTATGTTCGTGTTCTTATGTCGAAATTTAAGGGTTAGGAAGTTCAAACAGGTTTGTGTAATGCGCGAATTTGTTTGACGTCATAGAATAATTAGCAAGCAAAACAGGTTATGTATTATGTGTGTTTGTATGTCGTTATAAGTACTGACGTCTGATTGAGCTAGCACCGGTACCTACTAACTAAATTATTAGAGTAAGACTTAAACAAAATAAATCTTTAAATATAGACAAAACACAGATGAACCTATCTGCGAAAGAGAATACAGTAGTGTATAAAACATTTGGTACTGATATTATTTTTAACTGATACCATAGACAAAAGAAATACCAAAGATAATGGTCTATTGTCTGTGCTGATACTCACAGACAACCGTACCGACTTAGACCACTATATCAGGTAGCAGCTTTACTGACTAGGGACTAATAAAAATATTGCATGACTGGCATATAATATTTAAGCTACAAGTAACCACACTCAATTTATGGTGGAAACAATATTTTTTAACTTATTCTTGGTTACAGTAAAATTTAAAATGACTTTGTATTATGATTTGAATTTACATTTTATTGCTAACGTTAGCAATGTTTAAAAATTTAATTTCCCTTGAATCACAAGAAATGAACAAGATTTTAAGTAATCAATTATTACTATCTGAATAGGGAATTTACTAAATGTGTTACTATATCTTGCTTGTGCCTTTTTTGTGCATTAAAAAACTAACACATGTACCTAATTAAACCGTATTTATGATTGCTACATTTTCCCCCTGTTGCAATACTACGAGATACAGCAACAAATATATTCCATGAATCTAATGTTGGACGTTGCACCATAGTTTTATATTTAGTATAAAATTAATTATACGTTTTCACACGCTTTTTACATTATCATGTGTTTAAATTTTGGACGATTGCACGTTTAAGTACCTACTAGGCTACAAAGTAACATTTAATTCAACTTATTAAATTTATTAGGTACTGTATAGATCTATAAGCTTGGCTTAGGTTTGTTTCAAAATGCAGTTTTTCAAATTATAAAACAAATATAAATACAGTTGTAAAGAACTTTGGGTTAATGTGAATATCATATTAGTTTTACAGTATGGTAATTCAATAATCGTAAACAAACTTTAACATCAAGAAAACTTATATTCGACTTAGCTTTGTTTGTAAAGTTGCACCACATTTCCAACAGATCGGTCCCATGACACAGGTTACATTTTGACGGGGATTTGTTTTTCACAAAAGTTCTAGTTTCTTATAACTTTGTTTCAGCACTAATTTTATAAAAGTAAATTTAGCTTTCAACTAAAAAATATAGATATATTATAGTTAAATAACATGATTTTCATTATCTGTTCAACGAAACTTTATATTGAGTTATAAAGCTACACCATATAGTTACCTTAACTTTCGTCATGTCTTATATCATGTCAAATTATTTTTTATATAATAATATTTGTTTAAGTTTTGTAATAAATGTGACTTGTTCATGAAAATATTTAAGGTGAAATACAATCAGAAAAAATTAAATTAGCTTAGTCTGCAGTTTTGTTGCGGAGGGATATCTTTAATTATTGTGACGTTAACAAATATTTCTCGATTTGCTTGAAAAATCCACCAAATTCGCGTTTAAGCATATCTCCAGGAATCCTTCCATAGACGATTCTTTGCTTCATTTTGAGCAATTCCATGGCGTGACTAGACAAAAGCTTGCACTTAAACAACCCAAAAGGACGAAATCACAAACAAATAAATCTGCCAATTGAGCTGGCTAGGGCTTGACACTAAATTTAGAGGGCATACGACCTTTCAAAGGCATATTTCAAACAGTATTTTGTAATTATTGTTCTTATTGAAGACCAAAATCTTTCGGAAATTATAAATTTGTAAGTCCCATGTTTTTTTTTTCATTCTTAACCCCCTAAACAAATTAAACACCACCAAGCAATGTTTGGTCCCCTAGTTTATTCCTATTACTTTATTATAGCGAAAGAACTTTGGAGTAATTTCATCGCCTCAACCTGTTTTATCCTAATTTTCAAATATCTCTGAACATAGTCCAAAATCGGGTAAAATTATATCACTTGTTTTATTTGTTTAAATCTTTATTAAATAAAATATTATTTTGAATTACAACACCACAAATAAGTCTTTTTTCATTTAAATACGATAATACAGTCATTTATTAACTACAATATACAATATGTACAATCTAAGCATCTTAGTATTATAAAAGAGTATTTGGCACACAAATCTTTTACAAGCTACATAATAACAACATCGCTTCGTGTGACTCCATTATTATATTCTAAAATAAGAGAGGGGGTCGATAAATTTTCATTATTTGATAATTTGCGCTTATAAAACGATAATCATGATTGACTTTAAAAATACAAATTATCATAATTCCAAACAACAATCTTTGCTCTACTGTCCAAAAAACAAAGAATTATTTTTTTATTATTATAAGGCAGGTAAATTGATGAACACTAAATGCTCTCTAACCTTTGCAATCCGTATTTTTTATTTTGCGTCATTGATTGGAAAATGTGAAAGAAATGTGTATATTTATGCATTACACTTGCCAATAAACAGCACTATAGTCCTACAACAAATCAAAAATATACTTTAAGACTATCATCATTCTGTAACTTGTTTAGTTATAATTAATCATCATCATACAGTGAGTGAGATTTAGTAATTTTGCTTGTTCTTTTTCACAATTCCCCATAATCATAGCTAACAAAGTAATTACGAAAATGTTACAGGATTTCGTAAAACTTTTTTTTTATCATCCAATTTTAAAATATGGCTATATGTTCATAAATTTACACCAAATGACTTGAGATGGTTCTAATGCCAAACTAATACACGCCGTTAAAGGTAGTATAATAATATAAATAAACATCAAAGGAGAAGTAGTGAAAATTTAAATTAAAATTTCATTTGAACTATGTCTTAACATTGAAGACTTAATGTTTATCGAAATATGTTGATCCTTCAAATGTTATTCAATAAATTTGTAGTAAGGGTTCCTGCTTATTTTTTTCATTTATTCCAGAACATCAAACGGTTTGTACAAAACTTGTAGCAAATGGGTTAAAAGCAATTAGAAGGGGCAAGGGACATGAAAATGGGACATACTTGAGCTTCTCAACATTAACACACCCCATCAACATTGTAATATAGTTATCTTTTTCACATGAAAATTTTCAAAGTGGTAACATCTTTATTTGTTAACTTTTGATTGGAAGGAAACGATTCCGAATCGGTAGAAGTAGTTCACGCGCTTACATCTGCTACCTGAGGAGAGACGCTAGCGCTCCTAGCGTTGATACCAGTAGGACAAAACTCCTACTTGTTTGACCTGGAAACAACAAAAATAAAAGTTTCTAAAAGTGTTACCCAGAGTGTTAAAACATAAATCCATGCAATTCCCTGCTAATATACAGAGTGAATCACGTTGGGTGTCCACTGTTAATTTCAGACAGATCGTTGCGTTAATGCCACAATGATGAAGTGAACACTTTTTTCCAGTATGCCAACCCCAAAGAACTGCATGTACAAAAACCAGAGGTTTACTAGTTCAAATCTTGCAATTGTAAAAAAAAATAATATTTCATTTTTTTGGAGCTATTGTTAATAACTAGTTGTGCTGACCTACAGAAAGCTGCTGCTTTAATTAGGTTGTTGTACTTATTCGTGAGGGTGGGTCTTTGTGTCTGTTGCGTTGTGAGTTGGAGAACAGTGTTCCGCTGAAGGAGGTGGAGCTGAGGGCCTTAGGCAGAGGAGGGTTTCTAGGTTTAATTTTGTAAGCAATATAGATAGTTGTTGGCAAGCCTCCAGACAGTACTGAGTTTTACGAATTTTACACATATATAAACAATACACTTTTTAATCACCCTACATCCAAGTACACACTAGCATTCAATTGAAACCTAGTGTATCGCTCCCCAGTTGTTTAGACTCGGAATCATTGTTAGTTTAGCCTTGACCGCCATCACTTTAATTAAGTCACTTGCCTACTTCACAAATAGCTTTACAATAAACCTAAGCTTGTCTTCTTTCCCAATACGTAGTTGACTTCTGCTGTTTCTATCTTAGCTCACCAAAAATCTACTTTGATTTACACCCTAGTTTCATCACTCCAATCTGCGAAATAGGCTTACATCTAACCCGAGTATAAAACCACGTAGGTTTTCAAACTTGTGGGAGCCACAAAAACAATTAGCCTACCAATTTTCACTTAAATGTATTTATGTACTCAATAAGGCTTGAGGAGGTCAGAGGGTATTTGTGCTTAACCATCTCCTAACTTATTTTGGAGTTAAAACATTAGAATCTAATTTAACCTTCCTCTTGATTCTACACATCTTCACTGAACTCTAATACACCGCTATGTATCCCAACTTACCTCGGTTCTCTCTGTTGTCCAGAACGGACGCCAGGATGGGTTTGTCTTCGACCACAACCACTTCGATCACTTCACTGTACGAGGTGAACACTCCGAACAGGTCTGCCACACACTGCAGTCTCACTCTAGACCCAAGGAAACTGTTGACTTCTAGTGACACCTCCGTGATCGTCACCTTGTGATCTTCCTCCCCGAAGAAGTGAGACTTCATGAAAGGTCCTGGCCGGACCTGCGAGGGAACAAAATAATTAGTTGATCCATTGTGACTAAGTTAAACGTGATTTTAAGGTACGATTTCCACCAGCAATCGAATTATTCGTTTAAGATCATAGAATATAATAATTAGTTGTGAAATTAAAAGTCGTTATGGTTGTTAAATTTACTATTTTGATATATTTTAACCTAAAACAGCTACCTAAGTTTATATCTTTATTATTGATTTAAAGAAATAGTTATTTGTGTAGCTAGTGTGCGAAGTGGTACTTTTCTGCACATGAGAGAAATGTTTACGCACGAGCCGCCGGCGAGTGTTGAAAGTTCCTTGGGTGCAGCAAAGGCAATATTCGCTCGTGTTACACATTATATTTTTAATTTCATTCCATTTCTTATTTTATTTCATTTCATTTCTTATTTCATTTCATTATATTTTCCCTACAGTTACTATAAAGTATAGAAATAATTATTCTTTCAAACACTATAACTACACAACACTTTTATAGGTTAGGTTAAATCTAAGCGTTGAACAAAATGAGAAACACTAAATCAGCTGATCGTAGTCGTAGTCGTAGTATCTTTAAGTGCTGCAAACTTATTTTCAAGCGTAGGTACACGTATTACGTGCCTAATAAAAGTAAACTGTTCTGTGTTGGAATACTGGAGTGTGGCAAAAGTAAAATTAGTGTGGCAAAAGTGAGTAAATGCACAAATTAGCCTTAAACAGCGTGTTGGTTGTTATTAGTTTATTAATTATAGGCCTATGACTTTTGTTTTACTACGATTATATTCTAGATCTGTTGCGCAATAGACACTCAAGACACATACAGTGCTAACTAGGTACCTGTAGCAATGAATAATGTACTGTAATTAATTATAATTCACTAAAAGTAGTCATTGGGTTAGTCGACTAAGGATACCCAGGAATTAATATTTTTTTATGTATTTAAACAAGCCCTTATATTGGTAACCACGATAGAAACAATTCACTTTGCCACTGTTCAAACAAAAATGCGAGCATGTTTAACGCGTATCGTATGGATTTTAGTAAAGTTCATCAATAACGAGAAGGTCCTATCATTGACTATTGGATACTGAAGTATCAATAGTCAATTTTTCAAGACTGAGAGACATGTCGGATTTTCTTTTCTTTATTATTATCCTAATTAAGCTGTAAGTGTAAATTTATCCAATACTTCATCATTAGCTTACTATAATCAGTGAAAGGAAGCCCACTTTGTCAGGTAACTATAGGAAAACAATGCCGTATCCAAAAATGTATCTGAACAATGAAGGTAGAATTTTCAAGACGTTAGTATGACGGTTGAAGAAATTTCACATTTCTTTCTTCCAGTATGCATCAATATAACCTAACATAACATAATTGTTGTATTTTGGTAACATATTAAAGATTTCTTTGGAGACGTCACGTTTATAGTGGATTAAAAAGCTCTCTATGACAAATCAGATTTTTTGTTAAACCGAATATTTTTGATGGTCTATTCAACCCAAAGAATTAGCCTATTCAACATTTGTTCAATTAAATTGTTTCAAGAATATGTATTTACATTAGTCGTTTTAAGCTTTAAAACTGGTTCAGTAAATACTTGAAGTATCACATCATGCATTAGAAAATTAGTGTTATTGAACAGTAACTTCAAGTAAGTTGTTAACAAAAGAACAAACACATTTTGGTAGGTATTCAAATTAATTTTACCTTATTCCCATTGACGTATAGTGTGAGGTTCGCTGGAGGGCTGGAGGGTGGTGAAGTACAGTTTCCTCTTAGAGTTTCCCCGAGGGAGTATTTTGTTTTGTCCACCTCCAATACTGGCTTCTGGTCCAGCGGTCCTGTGTAAATAAAATGAATTACAGCGCAAATTACTAATTGATTTATGTAATTTAACGTAAATTTTGCAAACTAGAAAGAGAATATATGTATTAACAAAAATGCTGATAAGATAGACGGGGAGATATTTTACTTAACCGTTAGTGGTATGGTATGACAACACCTTAAACACACGTTCAACCCTGTTTACTGAGCATTTCTTGGAAGAGATTGAACAAGATTGTTATGGACCAACACGTGTTAGCTTTTAGACATCTCAGTCCTGACCAAACATTTTATTTGGTTGTGTAGGTTAAACATGTAAAAAAAAAATATAATTTCAAATATAGGCCTACACTTTAAAAAATTACTTTATTATAAAACCAATTTCGTTTCCATCTATTATTACGACTTCATTACGACAATTATTAAGCGACTTTCACATTACATTTAAAGACACACTAAATTTGAAGCCTTAGAATGGGAGAGAAGCACACCAGGATTTGGACGTGACTTTGGCTGGCAATATTAGAGCTGAATATTGCGGTACATAAAACAACTTCTCGTTCTATAAAAGATATTGCTTCTTCTGGCCTTTATTGTACCCTTTGCGTCTCTTTTCTCCTACTTTATCTTGTCATTATAGTAAAAACGTGTCATTACTAACTAATGGTTTAAAAGGGTTTGTTGTTGCACTTAGGTACTTTACTCTATTTAAATTATCGTTATTTTCATTTTTATTCATTTTAACGTCCTATGATAGAAATAGTAAAAAAGTGTCACCTTCATAATTATTTTAAAGAGTTTATTAGATTAAATATGGCTTCGTTTTATGATGTGTTTGTATATTTCGCATTATTTGTGAGTTTTTGGCATAATAATTCTAATTCATCGTTAGTTTAAACTCGTAGAATAGTTCCTTGCAAGCATCATCAACATACTCGCAGAAATACGAGTATACATATTTACTCGGCCTATCTAGAGTAAAAAAACATAGGAGTAAAATAATAAATAGGAACCGTATTAATGACGAAACAACTATAACGTATCAGGTATATAAAGTGAGGAATTAAAACAAATTAATTTGCCATATTAAGTCACAAACGGTTAGAAGTTGGTTAAGTGGGTTAGAAACGGTTACAAAGAGAGGTCTAAAACCGTGTAAGGAGACAGAGACATTCATAGTAAATATGTTCGACAACATATCTTTAACTAAATATATTTTCATAACGTTTTCGGCCACTTTCAACCTTATATTTGCCATCTACATCGGACTACTGTTTGAAAGTGTTACGTATTCAGAGCAAGTTTTGTGCGAATAGAATACAGAATCCTTCATGCAATCCTCCATGCTGGACTGTACTGTTAAAATATAGTGGTGGAACCTGGACGAGAGCTTATAACTTCCGTCTTTTATACACAGTGCCGTCGAAAAACGACTGACCAACAACTGAGCTACTATTCCTTATACTATTGAAAATTTGTTTTTTCTATAATACGCAGCGGTAGCCAAACAAATAACACTTACGCACTATATTCATGTTAGCAGCCACCACCATGGTTAGAAAGTCCGGGGCGTCGGTAGACACCTCACATAAGTAGCGACCTGACATGGCTCTGTTGACATCTCTCAGGACGACACGTTCTGGGCCTGACAGGCTCACCTGCAAGTCAGTGGTTTCTAAGTCTGTGCTTTTGTATCAGTGCAGTTAGTTTGCTTATACAAGTTTGATGAAAAGTTCCGGGACGGCTGGAGATTTTTATTATAACTTATGCTAGAATATTCAAACTTTGCAAATTAAATTGGGAACCAAAATAATATATTTTTTTCATATTACCTACTATCAACCTCAGCTGGGGGATAGACCCGATGAGTTGGTAGCAAAAAGAAACTTAAGTTGATATACAACATAAAGTTCTTTGTTAGCAGAACACAATGCCACAAACTCAAATACAACCAGACAACCGAGGCAGAAATGGCAGTCATTCAAATAAGTCTACATCCTCACTCCTCAGGGTTGGGCCCACACGAAATCAAAAGAAAATCATAAATGTAAGCTTAGACCAATATGCTCATCAAATTAAATGCCCTAACTTAACTAATACAATACAAACTTGAACTAAAAAAAATATCTGAGTCAAAAGGCTGCCATTCTAAGATATACGGTTGCCAAAATCGCAAATTTAAGTAATCTTTGAACAGCTGCCATTTGTAGCTCAGAGTCAGTTTGAGTTTTACTTTAAGGGGTTTCATTTCCTAACAGAGACCTTAAATTTTATACGCCTTTTTAATTTATGCTTCAATTTATTATTTTCTGCTGACTCCTAGTGGGCCGATCCCTTCCGCGTAGTTGTTGATAGTTGGTAATAAGCTAAAAGGAATAGTATTTTAGTTTTAATGTATTCGCAAAGTAATTTGCAGCGTAAACATAATTTTATTCGAATTTCTAGCATAACTAAAAATATTCAGCCGTTTTGGGTCATTTCACCTACTCTGTATATGAGGTTACAGCTTCTTTTTTAGTTATGCATTTGTATAACAAATGTTAGCTCCAAGCCATTATACTCACATCCACGTTGAACCCCTTGATAGGAAACACCCTAGTGTGAGGCAGTTCCTTGGGCACGTAGCGAAAGAATTCTTGTCTTCCCTTGTACCACTTGATGGTGTAGAGAGGCTCGTTCTCCAGATCATAGCTGCAGAAGAGGGAGACGGTGGCGCCTGCAGTGACGGCCAGAGGAACCCTGATAGTGACGTTCCGTAGCCCACCAACCCCTAGAACAACGGGTGGTTTGGTAAGTTTTGAAGAGGTCGAAAGACCATTGATTTTACTAGGTACGTACGCCTCAGACCTATACGTGGAACGTATTCAAAAAGGTAAGGAGTTAACTGGGAGAGCACATCAATGCATACTGATGAAATTACGTTGTGGTCCCAGAATCCAAAAATACGACATTTTCTGTCTTGGATAGAGCTCTTCTAACCAGAGCACCGACTCATAACCGTTGACAATTTTACATTTATCCAACACGTCAAAACCTTCCAAAGGACTTAATTAGATACATCACTCATACTTAATAAAGTTCAAATGATTAACTGTTCAAATGACAGAATGGACTATCCAGTAAAATGACAGCATAGCAAACAACTCTGTTATTCAGTATAAAAACAGAGCTAATACAGTTTGTTTGTAATTGCTCACAAACGGGTTTACACTTTTAATGCTGCTACATATTATGTTTCAAATTTATTTGTTAATACCTAATAACAATTAATTAATTTACCTAATTTAGTTAATTTATTTTACCTAGTAAAACCTTTGTTTAAATTATCTTTTTAATACTGTCCACTTGGACGCGAGTTTAAGTTTTAGAGTTTATTGAAAATTGCTGTATATAGGTGTATTCAAACTCGAAAATGGATGCAGACATTGAAAGATTAACCATCCGGATGGGTCTTTTTTATGAAGAATCACTAAATAGGCAACAACACAACTTTATACAAATCTTAAATATGATGAGAGTGTTACTAGCAATTGCTTCATCATAATGTTGCCAAAGTTATGATCCGAATAGTTCGCTATTCGCTCTTCACATTTGATTATGTCACATAAAGTGTAAATAGGAATAGCATTATTTATACAAATTTGTGTAGAAGTAGATTTGATATTCGTTGGTATCCCAAAAAGGGGTGTAAAAAGTAACAAAATAATTGATTAGGGAAGCAGGTAAACAGATATGCACTTTTTAAACCCATTGAAATAGAAATTTCACTTTACTCGTTAGATACATAACTGGGAGCTTTTGCAAACCTAATTGAAATTTCCCGCACGACTCTCTTTTGCATCTTGAAATAGTTATTCGTGGAGCTAATGCGTGAAGTGGCACTTTGCTGCACATGAGATAAATGGTTATAAGATAAAAGTTTCTCGGTTGCAGCAAAGGCACTTTGCGCTTGCGTTATACATTAAATTTGTTCTACAGTTGCTCAAAACATATACATAACTAGTCTATCAAATACTAAACAGCACGTTTTAGTTTAGGTTAAATACAAGCTTTGGACGAAATGGGAAACACAGCAACAGCTGATCGTAGTCGTAGTATCTTATTTAGCCAACTTATTTTCCAGCATACACGTAATACGTGCCTGGTAAAAAACACTGTTTTGTGTTGTTTGGTTTGAACACTGGAGTCTGGCAGAGTAAAATTAGTGGGGCAAAAGTAAGTAAATGCAGCCATTAGATACTTTGCGTGCTATAATCAGTGCAAGGAAGCCTTGTCTGTTAACTGTGGGAAAAGAAAATCTTTTTACAGAATCTGTTTCTTAAAAGCACTTAACGAGCGTGCAGCGTAAAAAGTTGATATTAGCATTTCTTTAACGAACCACATAATATGAATAAAACAAAAATGTTTATGCCAATATTCAACGTCACTACTCATGATCTACAGTATTTAAGAGTCAGCAGTATGAGATAAAATTGCTAAACAAACATCTCACAATATGCATATATACACAATAAGTCTGGATTACGAACTGTTGCATCCAAAGAGATTAAAAAAGGTGCCTTTTGGAAATTACATTATTTATCAAAATATAGAGCTAAAAAGTAATATCGAATACGTAGTCTCTTTTAGCCACTAAAAGCTCTCCGAATTGAGAATGTCTAACAATGGCTTGTCAGAGGGAATAGTCCCGATGATTGAATTTATAAACAAAACTCCAAGATACGGAGTATAATTCTTGACATGCAATTTTCTGGTAGGTTTATTCAATATTATTTTTTTCCAAATGGCGGTTATGATGTTATATTTAAAAAAAATGTTTGTAGATAGAGTGTGTAACTAGACATGACCTTATCATCTACCACCCCACACATCTATTAATGAAAACTCCATTTTTAACTAAAGTATTTCAATAGTTTCAATTTAAAATAATGAGATAAAAGTAAGTCCCCCTGGGAAAACAACAGGAAATTTCGTTGTTTATAAAATACAAAAATAGCTACTGATGATACAGTGTATCAAAGTTTAGCACTGCAGTAAAACACAACTTAAATGTACCATGTTTATTTTATTGGGAATGTTCTCTTAATTCCATGCTATGCGTTCTTCCACTGTGTAATTTTCAGTTTAACCTTTTATTATGTATACATCAAAAAGTATTTGCTGATTTTTTATTATCTAGTTACGCCATTTATTTTATAAACTCAAATCATGTTTCATTACTACCAACCTTATCTTAATTTAGTTTGGAAAGCTACCAAGTAACAGGCGTGTTATTCATTTTTGCCCCTTAAAGAGTGATTTTACTCAGTCAATCTTTATGATAGTATAAAATACATTGGCCATTGTTCTAAGGCGTAAGTTAGTCTAAACCAAAAGTGCCCTGTTTTTCTATAATTAAAACACTTCAAGCTACATAGCTAACTTAGCTACTTATATTGCTAGATATATAGGTAATCAATAAACTGGTCAGGGGTATAATCAAGAGGCCCCAGTAATAAGAACTGTTATAGCAGTGGTTGAATTAAGTGGGCATTAAAGAGATTCAATCTGGGATATAATTATCCTTAGTTAGTCGTGCTGAATTGCAACTAAAACCTAATCAACTGTAAGGAGATCCTGATAGAATGCGAATTTTGTCCTCATTAAAAGATAATAACTCTTGTCACTAAATTTATGTGTCCAAACAAAAATGTAAATACATAATATGCAATCTAAACTACAAATTATTTTTTATTCTATATTTCATACTTAACGTATTTTTCTGAATATATTTATGTTTTTGGTACAACACCTGTGAATTCTAGTCAATATTTTGTTGAATATTGAGCATGTTTTATTATTATATTTTTTATTATTATTATTTTAAACTCACGATTTGATAATCCCGTTTTAAAGCTTCGTCTTAATTTATACAATATAATGTAGCCTATATCTATATAGCTTTGTATCAATTAAAATTATTATGAAAGCATATGAGTGTAATTGAACACAGCAATTGCACTTTTTGATCCGAAAAGACCTTTACACGAAAATAAAATTTATTTGTATTGCTTGGTTAAAAGAATTGCTACAAATATTCAAAGTATACAAATATACTTTAACTATTTCAAAAGACTGCTTTTCAAGTATTTGCTGTAGTAATATGGCAGTAAGTGGTAGTGTAACATGACTAAGAAAAAATCTAACTTCTAAAAGTGTATGACGAAAAATTAAACATTCTTGGGAATGGAGATAAACTAGCCTATATACTTTGTGTGTAAATTCAAAACATTGAAATATAGTATAAAATACAATCGCATAAGTAACTGCGAGAGATGGCCAAACCCAGACAGCAATCAAGGAGGTAACATTACCATAATATCCGCCAGAACTATACAGAGTCTTGCTCCCCTGGAGAACTAAATTGCTATTTCAGTCCAGATAATTACACAGAACGTTATTTAAGTCTGTTAAATTATTCTAGAGAATCATTTTTTGATGTCAGATTTGTTATCATTTGTTTAATCTTCATTGTGTGCCTATCAAATAGGGTAGTGTTTTTCACAAAGATATTAACAAAAATGACAGATTCACAAAAATGTAGATTTTATCTTTGTATTTGTATTTTCCACTTTCAAAACTCAATATTCAATGATACTCAACCACTATCCCGTACTATGCAGTTAATTTTAATGGCATTTTCATAAGTTATTTGTTACTGCCAATCTCAATGTTTAAGAAACGCATTTACTTCTAATTTTCCGACAAAAATTCAACAACAGTCAATGTTGTAAGAAAATAATAGTTATTCATAGTTAATAGTTGATTGTTATTACGTCTGACAAGCAAAATAACTCTCATTGAATGTCAAAATTATATTAGTTATATAATTATACTAGCTGAGTACCCGTCCTTCCTACGGGATTGGTATACAATGCTTATTGTAGTTAAATACTCGTGCTTTGCATTTGCAATGAGAGAGGACACGTTTTGAGAAAATTTCGTTTACTAATCTATGGTATATACTGTGTATAAAACATCTATCAAAACTTCACTTAAACAATATAAAGAAGTAAAGTTCTCACACTCAGATTTTTGTTGCTGCTTGGTTCAAATTAGCTGTAAATGTATATAGATCTAATGGTGCTGCACCCTGTTGGTAAACCGTATAACCTTTTAATGCTACTGAATATCAAAGAAACAAATTGTGTAGTTGAAACGGCTGGAAAGATTATTTAATTCCTTTTAAATATGAATACTCATAAGGTTAACATGGGAAACCCTAGAGCCATTGGGGCGGAGCCCGAAAGGATTTTTGAGGTAAGAATATGTCTATATGTTAATCAGGAATGTGAGCTATCATCATACCAAATTTCAACACAATCCGATCGTGATTGAACTTCAAACATACAAACAAATAAACAAACAAATAAACAAACAAACACACAAACTTTAACATTTATAATATTAGTATGATTAGTTTAACAGTACATTGTTGTACATTGTACAACAGACATTGTTTGTTGACAAATGTTTGAGTCTCAAAGAATGTTGGGATTAAGGATATATATTTAAAAGACTTAAGATTAGAAGTTTTCAAACCAAAACCAAAGTTATCGTTCGGGCTTAAATCAACCAATTGTATATTTTTTCAGTGTTTTTTCACTCACCATGATATTATCTTTGAAACAACCGTTTTTCATGTAGAACCCTGTGTTACCTACGTTCAAATTAGAAAACAAAGAAGTATGGGGAATATGTACATATTGCTTGTTAAATACAAACTTGTGC